AGTAAAAAAGAACCCAAATATCACTTTGGCTGAGCTCCAGAGCATGGTAGTGGCAGCATCATGCTGTGGGTGTGTTTTTCAGCTGTAGGGACAGGACGACTGGTTGCAATTGAGGGAAAGATGAATGCGGCCAAGTACAGGGAAATCCTGGATGGAAACCTTCTCCAGAGTGCGCAAGACTTTAGACTGGGCCGAAGGCTTATCTTCCAACGAGAAAATAACCCTAAGCACACAGCTAAAATAATGAAGGCGTGACCAGAGCCCTGATGTTAAACTAATTGAGTATCTCTGGAAACAGACAGGCAGACAGTTTCTGCATAAATACAAAACTCTAATTTGTATATGACAAAAAGAAGACAATGAAAAAGCTGAACAAATTAAGAAATACTGTGATGATGCTTGGTTGCAATAGCAGAGTTTGACAGTGAACAGAATTGTAATAAAAGCACAGAATAGAATAGCCACGTAATAAATATTGCCATCAGAAACTCCAAACACAAATATTATATATCTAATTATCTATCTACTTGCAAGAGGTAAATTCAAACTGGGGTTGATTGTTTAAAAAGATTTATGTCATTTTTGCTAACAGTGGCTGCTGTTTGTCTGTTTGATTGTTTAACCTGTTAGCCAGTATTCAATTTTGGGCATTTACACCTACTGTACCTAACTTTAAATAGTAACAGTACCTGACTCCAGTAAGCTACAAACACCAAATTTTGTATCATTGGAAAGAAGACACTTTGAGCTTTACTGGTAAAAGGAAAGAAGTTACATGTAAAAAAATATACAAATTTTATATATTTTTATAAAACTATAAAATGTATACATTATGAAGTCATGAGGAAAAAAATGTATTGTTCAATATTAGTTTTCCATATAAAAAACACAGGAAAACATTGATGTAATGTCCTAGAAAAAAATATGACTTGAAAGCCAAGTATTTCATGAGTTTATATTTTAAATTGATGAAGATAGCATGCAAAATGAGATTACTGTAAAAAGTTTTCCGAGGCTACAGTATGTCGATGTTCTTCTCTCACTCATCGTCAGAGGCATTTTCTCAAAAATGACCATACCAAACTAAAACATTTACTGAATGATTTGGTCTATATTCAAAGTTTTTGTATCTTTGCAAAAAAGACACTCTGGGCTTTTGTTATCCATCATCTAGAGTTTATAATGCTTAAAATGAAAAAAAAAGTTATAGATGCTTAAGAAATGTAAAAAAGTTCCACCACACTAAGCATTATTTCATACACAAATATGTGAAATTTGTTCTGGAGCAGCACATAAAAGTAATAGGTCAAAAGCCACATATCTCCTGAGTATTTGTTTTGAATTTGACACCAATATTATGCAAAAAGAAATTTCTGGAATTATTTTCTGAGACAATGTCTTGTGATTTTCTCCCTCTCCTTGTTTGTGGAGACGAAGTCTAATGACCTCACGTACTAAAGGTTTTACACAACACTAATTTTTGTAATTCTAAAATAATAAGCAGAAACGTATAGTATAAATGATTTATTTGAGCACAAGTAGGACATTGTGTGAAATAAGTCCATTGCATATGCAACAAGAGTTATTGTTGGTTTGCTCTTCACTCACTGGCAGAAAGTGCTTCATGGGAGTTTGCTGCTGCTTGAAATCCTCAGCAGAGATTCAGCTACATGACAAAAAAAACAGAGTTAGAATTCTATTGTAAACAATTGTATTTGTACTTGAGTAGCGAACACGATTTACTCTAAAGCCCATATACATATGATAATTTATACAGATAGCTTAGCTTTTATACAGATAGCTTACCTAACAGCAGCCATTCAGATAAATTGCAAACACACTGTATAATAATGTCAAACATTACTGAAAGATTATGGCTAGCGGAGAGACATTCACTCTTATAGGCACAAGCAGGCTAAACATAGAGAAGACCTGAGATGTAAACAATGAGGCAATGAGAGTAAATACTCACCTTTAAAAAAAACGGAAGTAAGTTCATCCACGTCATCTAGGTATCAGCTCTACTTGGAAATACTCTCCTCTTCGCTTCAAACAATCTCTCAAAAACGCTTTTCAGCAGATCAAAACTTTTGACGATGCATTTTTTGTTTTCTTTTTGCAAACGAGCCGCTCTGCCTTTAGCCTGAACTGTAGCAGCTGTGGGGGGGCAGGTGCATCGCGTAATGATTGACAGCTCACTGAGCCAGTAACAGCATAAAGACTGCAATAACATGACGGCCGACCAATAAGATCAAAATTCATGTATCCATTGTCTCGTTTCTCTGTCAGTCAAACTTCTGGTAAGTAGGAAGTAACTTCTGTGACTGATCGATTCGATAGCAGATTTTGGTAACTATAACTTGACTTTTTATTCAGTTTGTGGTCTTATTTTATCTGTAACACTGTAAGCTATGACATAGACTTGCCTTTGACTACAAAGACTGCGTTTTCACGTGTAAGTACCATGGTAAAACGGTGTAAACATTAAGCTTAACATAAGCGCTTTCTGCAAAACTTGCACAAATTTAGCAAATACATATTTTATAAGCTTTCCATTGAAAAACAACTAGCTGCAATGAGTGCTTAGCGGTTGTAGCTTTAAACTGATGTACAGTTTTTTCAAGATTTCTCAAGATTACTCATGTTCTTTTTGGTTTAAACTATTCATAAACATTGACATGTGGAAAAACAGCACCTCAGTGCGTCCTCGTCGGGGCGCTGGGTAGGGGTTAAACCAAACCTTTGTGGTGTGTTGAGTTTAAATAGCCTTCGCAACCAGGAAGGCCATTTAAATGTGAACAGTCTGAGTGTTAACGAACACTATCATACACCCAGTGCAATAAGGCGCAAGATGTGTTTGGCATGATTTCCTGCTATTTTCAGACCAGCACAACCATAATTTCCACATTTTGTATGACATTGTTAGCAAATAGAAAATCCATTTGCACCAATTTGTGGACTCAAGGGTGTGCCAGTCTAGAAAGGTGTGTTAAGGCGCATTTTTGACACGGTGCTATTTTGACACCTAAAGTCCAGCGTGTTAGTTGTCCACATGCTAACACATTGCATAATACACAAAGGATGTACAGCAATACACAAATATCTTTTCAAATAAAAAAAAGTTAAAGAATTAAAATGTAAAAAAAAATATATATATATACTATTTTCTACATAAATATAAAATCTACTACCTGTATGCCTTCTTCATATTGGGGGGACTTTTTCAGTTTACTCATGACAGGTTGCTTTTGTGTTATGTTGTTAATATTATTATTATAATTATTAATTATATGAATATTTACATTTGTTTTAATAAAAACAAGTTTAGATTTGTCTATCTGTCAGGTTTTGGACCATATGGGGCATAGGACGTGTTTGGATATAACTCGGTTTTTTGACCACACTTTGTTATTATTGTTCATTTATTTGTTTGCTGGAAATTAGAACTGAATTTAGAAATAGTTTAGAAACAAATCTTTGTGCTTCAACAAAATTAAACATTTAGGCTAATAAATGTCTTCAGTGAAGTGTGAACAACACTGTTTCCTTATCCACTAAAGTAAAGTAAAGAAGTAAAGTAAAGAGTAAAAGTAAAGAGAAAGTAAAGAGGCCGAATGGAGAGGGCTCATTCTTTATCCTTGCACAAATGGTCTGTTTAACTGTTTTCACACTAGTGAAGCATTCAGTTTTTCCACTTAGAAAGTCAGCCATGTAAATAGCAAATTTGCGATGGCCTGAAGCAACTGACTCTTAAAGGGAATGTAAAATGAGACTCGGATTGGTTTAATGTATGTTATGCTAAAAACACACCCATAACTCATTGAGGGAATTAGCACAACCCTGTTAGACCATGCTCCATGGTGCATAGCATATTTTTCCATCCTTAATATAGCAAAAGTGGACTCGGACATGCTCTTAATGCTTATGTGTGATGAGCTTTAGATTTTGCTCCTAGATCATTAAAATACAGCACAGAGTATTTCTGAGGAATGGTTTATGGTATAGCACTCTGAACATGGTAGCAGCAGCAGTATATATATATATATATATATATATATATATATATATATATATATATATATATATATATATATATTTGAAATACATTATTTGCATCTACACTGCTCAAAAAATAAAGGGAACACTTAAACAACACAATATAACTCAATGTCACATTTCTGTGAAATCAAACCCACTTAGGAAGCAACAATGATTGACAATCAATTATTCATGCTGTTGTGCAAACAGAACAGACGACAGGTCTAAATTTACAGGCAATTAGCAAGACACCCCCAGTAAAGACATGGTTGGGCAGGTGGTGAACACAGGCCACTTCTTTGTTCCTATGTTTTCTGGCTGATGTTCTGGTCACTTTTGAATGCTGGCGATGCTTTCACTTTAGTGGTAGCATGAGATGGAGTCTACAACCCACACAAGTGGCTCAGGTAGTCCAGCTAATCCAGGATGGCATATCAGTGCAAGCTGGGGCGAAAAGGTTTGTTGTGTCTGTCAGTGTAGTGTCCAGAGCATGGAAGCACTACAAAGAGACAGGCCACTACATCAGGAGACGTGAAGGAGGCTGTAAGGAGGGCAACAACCCAGCAGCAGGACCACCACCTCCGCCTTTGTTCAAGGAGGAAGAGGAGGAGCACTGCAAGAGGTCTGCAAAATGATCACCAGCAAGCCACAAATGTGTCTGTTCAACCGGTCACAAACAGACTCCATGATGGTGGTATGACGGCCCGGCATCCATAGGTGGGGGTAGTGCTTGCAGCCCAACACCACGCAGGATGTTTGGTATTTGCCAGAAAACACCAAGATTGGCAAATTTGCCACTGGCACCCTGTGGTCTTCACAGATGAAAGCAGGTTCACACTGAGCACATGTGACAGACGTGACAGACTCTGGAGACGCTGTGGAGAATGTTCTGCTGCCTGCAACATCCTTCAGCATGACTGGTTTTACAGTGGTTCAGTAATGGTGTGGGGTGGCATTTCTTTCAGGTCGCACAGCCATCCATGTACTCACCAGATGTAGCCCGACTACCATTAGGTACCGTGATGAGAATCTAAGCCCCCTTGTGAGACCATACAGTATGCCGGTGTGGTTGGCCATGTGGTTGGGGTTACTTCTACTGCAAGACAATGCTAGACCTTATGTGTCTGAAGTGTATTAACAGATCCTGCAAGATGAAGGCATTATTACAATGGACTAGCCCACCCGTTCCTCAGACCTGAATGCAATGGAGCACATCTGAAAAATCATGTCTCCGTACATCCACTAATGCCACACATTGCACCACAGACTGTCCAGGAGTTGGTGGATGCTTTAGTCCAGGTCTGGGAGGAGATCTCATAGATCTCCATTTGTCACCTCACCAGGAACATGCACAGGCTTTGTAGGGAAGTCATACAGGCACATGGAGGACACACACAATACTGAGCCTCATTTTGACTTGTTGTAAAGACATTACATCAATGTTGGATCAGCCTGTAGTGTTTTTTTTTGTACTTCAATTCCGAGTGTGACTTCAAATCCAGACCTCCATGGGTTAATAAATTGGATTTTCATAAATCATTTTATGTTATTTTCGTTATTCAACTACTCAAAGAACAAAGCATTTAATAAAAATATTTCATTCTTTCAGATCTACAATGTGTTATTTTAATGTTCCCATTTTTGACCCGTGTATTACCTTTTATTAAAATTTTATCAATACATCTATAAAGATATAAGCAAAGGTAACAAAGGAGTTTGGACTGTGGGGGAAACCATTGCAACTGGGAGGAAACCCACGCAAACGAAGGGAGAACATGCAAACTCCACATAGAAGAACCAACTGATTCATTGTATTCATTATTCATTATATTGTTTTCTGTGAGCAAGTGAACAAGATGATTATCACATCATTTTGAAGCAAAAACACTAGGCTACAAGATCCAGTTCTCAAAAGTTTTGTGCACAAATGTTCTCTGTGTGTTTCACGGCCTTGTTTCAGTAGCTTCAAAATTTAATTTTTTCACTAATCACGCATAAACGTTTCTTTCTCAAAAACAAAAACACACACAAACATTCTGCTTAGGTATTATTGTAGCTCAACTTGTGCTGTTTACAGTGTTATCACACTTTAGCCATTAGTATGTTTTTAAGATACTGAAAACAACACAAATGTCAGTGCATGTCCAAACTTCTCCAGAGCCCCGAAACACCCTTAGACCCCAGAGGGTTGAGATATGACCTTTGATTCCTGCATCACCCACCTTCATGACAGGCTGAGCAAAGTATTTGGCACTCCAGTCACAAAGACCTGTCTGCAGACTCAAACTGACGAAGCTCCTGTGAACAGCAGTCTCATCTCCATCCTCAGCAGTCTTAGAAACATGCAAATAAATAACAATATGTAACTCAGTCCCCACATTGTATAATTAAAGACATATTGTGCTTTATTATGCCTAAAACAATCATTTATTTATTTCTCCAACTGTCAGTGTCACAAGATCCCCCTCAAAATCATTTTAATATGCAGAAAATCATCTCTTATCAATACCAATATGACAAACAAAAGTGGTGGTTCATTTTTAATTGAAAATATTCTTCATGTTTTGAGGATTCTTTGTTTAAAAAGCCCACTATCAAAATAAGAAAACCTACATGGCAGCAAATTTTCAAATAAATATTTAACTAATAGGCAGTGTAGAATTGTGAGAGCTGTGTTAAAGAGATCTGTGGAAACATGATTGATGTACCTGATCAGGGCCCTTATCAAACATCTTCCTGGTGCGTGGAAACTGCTGTGAGTGGGGTGCCTGACCACCTAGTGTTGGAGTGTATGGTGGCCGAGCAGATGGACCGTCCCGGACCGGTGGCTTGGGCACTTCATTGGTGAGACTGGAGCTGGATGCACCAGGCATGGGTGGAGATCCGCTGGAGGGAGATGAAGAGCATTTGGATCTGTGGGAAGCACTACAACACCAACAAGTAAGGCCATATTACTCAGATTAATGCATTGCCGAAAAACAGGGACAGCATGCACAGCAATATGCAAAAACAAAATCAACAGCAATATAAAAACACAGCAAATAAAAAGAGCAAGATGATGCAAAATTAGAGTACATGCAAAGGAGAGTAAAACAAAGAAACCAAAATATTATATTCTACTTTATTTATGTATTATTTCTCTACTGTCAGTGATTATATGGCCCTGGTACTGATTTAATAAATTAGTAGCACATTTAAAGTGTGTATAACTCACCCAGCTTGATGAATTAGTGTGCCTTTACTGGTGGGGCTGGCTGGAGCTGACTGGGTCAGAGATCCTGAGTCCAAAATTCTTTGTGTGCGAGCATTCATGGTGGCCTGATGTGAGAAGCACAGTATGAGGCAGATTTAACGACAGTGACATTAATAAATAAATTTACAATCCTGCATTACACTGGAAAATTTGTACAATTTACTCAGTACAGATAGTATTTGATTCCTCTCTTAATTGAAATGAAGTTACTCGGCAACAGAGGTAAAGTTAAGGAGTCACATGGACATCAGTAATTGAATCATTTGCTTTAATCTAATTAAGACAATAATATAACGAATATGGCCGACCAGACACAATTATTTTGCTTTCATTCAACAAATGAGCCAACTTTTGCCCAAGGAAGACTCGATGGTCATTGTAAGCTGATTCCAAGGAATTTATGACCTAAAGGAATGTGCCCACAGCACAGCACAAAAGAATTGAACAGGACTTCTTTAAGCCACTTGCTTAAGACTGATGTTTTAATGTACACTTTACTCTCTCTTTATGTGTAATCAAGTGTTTTGCAGCGTTTCCCCTGCTCCTGTATTGATATTATGGTTTTAATACTCCTGCATACAATGTTTAACTCTACCGAAGCTAAACAAGCTCATAAACAGTTCATGTTTAGAGTTATTTGAAGCTAACTTGCTGTACTAATTAATTGTTGACATTTTATGTTAATACGAGTGTAACTTTAACATTTTAAGAGACTTAAACATTTCTGCCTCAGTTTGCATAAAATTTGCCTATGCAAATTCATCTGCCTCGGAGAGAGTCATAAAGTCATGACTCTGGGAAGTTAGTTTCTAATTGGTCAACTTTCCATGGAGGGTGGATCCGAACACACCCTATAAAGCTTGTGACCAAAGCTACGCCTCTCTCTCTGCTCTGCAACTCTCTGGAACCAAGCTCTCTTAAACCGCAACCTCTTCAAACTCTGCAACCTCTTCAACTTGCTCTTCTTCAGAAAGAACTAAATGCAAACCTAAAGAGACAGAAGAGGGTGAATTTGATTATGTTTGGTTCGCTTGGTTTGCTCTTACAAACTCCAAGGTTTTCCCATGATTACATTCTCTCAACCTCTTACTTTACCTTCTTCACTCTTCTCTACACTGGTATGAATGTGTGTTTGTGTTAGGTGTTAGTTTCTGTTAGATTAGTCAAGTCCAAGTTTAAGTTCTATTTATTTATATAGCACATTTCCAACTGCCACAAGGCTGCACAAAGTGCTTTACAGAGAGAAAATAAACACATGATATGAGCATAAAACAGTAAAAACAGCAATAGGCACATAATATAGGAAGGAACATAGAAAGATTATCAATAAAAGAGCAAAAAAAAAAATAAAAATAAAAAATAAAAAATAATAACAAAATATTTTATCCTAATTAAAAGATGCTACTACAGTTGACCAACACTAAACACGACCTTTTTGATCCCCCTCCTTACTCCCAACACCCCCCCAATCCTTTCTGAAAGGGAAGGACTTATGCTTCAAAAAACCTAGAAAATAAATGCGTCTTTAATTTAGACTTAAAAATAGGCAGCACGAAGCCTTTTTTAGGTCTAATGGCAGAGAGTTCTAGAGGCGAGGGCCTGCTATGGCAAAAGCACGTTCACCCATACTTTTGGGCCTTTGGAACTTTTAATAAAAACTGATCAGCAGAACGCAAGTGTCTTGGAGGAGTGTAGTTAACAATCAGTTGGGATAAATATTTAGGGCCAAGACCATGTAGGGCTTTATACACAAAGAGAAGGATTTTAAATTTGATTCTTTGTGTCACTGGTAGCCAATGTAGAGACCTCAGAATAGGAGTGATGTGTGCATATTTCAGGCTTTTTGTTAAGAATCTAGCTGCTGCGTTTTGCACTAACTGTAGGCACGCAATCTGAGACTTAGGCAGCCCAAAATAGAGAGAGTTGTAATAGTCCAACCGGGAGGTTATAAGCGCGTGTATGGCAATTTTTTGAGAGTGTGAAGGAAGAGAGGATTTCATTTTTGAAAGAAGGCGGAGTTGGTAGAAACTATTTCCCACCACTTTTGAGATATGTTTATTAAACTTTAAGTTCTGGTCTAATGTTATGCCCAGGTTACACACCTGGGGTGATCTGAACTCCTCCCAGTTACCCAGCCTGTTACAGTCAGACAAATCATCGGGCCTGTTTTTTCCTCATTTAGAAATAAAAAGTTCTCATGCTTTTACCTCCTTCAAGCACAGTGACAGGAAGTTCACAACAGAGGACTCATTTTCCTTTTTGAGTGACATGTATTTGTGTATTGTCTGCATAAAAATGAAATGCAGGCCATGTTTTCTGAAAATAGAACCAAGAGGGAGCAAATAAAGAGAGAATAGTGAAGGTGCTAGAATCAAGCCTTGGGGAAGACCACACGTTAACGGTGCCGTGGAGGAGGAAAAGTTACCAATTTTGAAAAAAAAACTTCCTGTCGGAGATATATGATTTAAACCATTTCAGCACTGTACCCTTCAGCCCAACCCAGGACTCTAGCCGAGATAATAACACAGAGTGGTCAATAGTATTGAAGGCTGCGGATAAATCCAGCAAAATTAAGGCCACATGATAACCAGCATCAGTAAGGAGAAAGATGTCATTCAAAACTCTTAATAGAGCGGATTCAGTGCTATGAGCCAGCCTAATGTCAAATTGAAAAGGCTCAGCGATATCATTCTGGGATAGAAATGTTTGTAATTGATTAAGTACAATTTTTTCTACAATTTTTCAGATGAAGGGTAAGGTGGAAATGGGTCTAAATTTTTTGAGATCAGATGGATTTAGTGAGGCCTTCTTGAGCAGGTGTGACGGTAGCTGTTTTTAGACTGGCTGGCAAAATACCACTCGTAAGACATTTGTTAATGACAGTGAGCAAGACCGGGCCCAGAGATACAAAGAGCGAAGTGTAGAAGTGTAGAAAATTCGCCACGGCCAGAAGTAGGTTTTAATTTTGAAATTACGGACTCCAAATTCGCTAAGGTAACAGGAGAAAAGGTAGTAAAAACAGATACCGGGAGATGACAGTTTAAGGGATCCACTGAGACCCCAGATGGGCTCAGTTGTGACCTTAAAGTTGTAATTTTGTCACTTAAGTAGTTCAAGAAGCTCTCACATAGAGAAGAAGAAGCGTCAGATAGCACATTCACTGGAGGACTTACAACAGACTGAATAACAGCAAAAAGTTCTTTAGGTTTACAGTGATTTGACTCAATTAAATTGGCAAAATAAGCAGCTTTTGCTTGATCCATAGCTGACTAATAAGAAAACAGAGCAGATCTGACAAGTTGAAGAGGGATGGTAGGTCTGTCCTTTTTCCATTTACGTTCAGCCTGTCTATATTTTTGTTTTAAAGTGCGTTTCTCTAACGTTTTCCAAAGTTCAGATTTTATTTTTTGTCTGCATAATTTCAGGGGTGCAGATTTTTTTGCTGCCATTTGGCAGACCGAGTACAGCAGGTCAAGATGTTGTTCAGCATCCAGTTCTGATGAGGCGAGATCTAGACACGATTTGACGTAGAAATCGGTAAAGCACTGGTTAAAATCCGAGCTAAAATTGGATGTGTAGATTCTTGACAGCATGGTAGGCGTATTAGGGCAATATGCAATCTTCGTGAGGGACAGCGTAAATTGAATAGGCATGTGATCGGATATCAAAAATTGGGATAGTACAATATCGGAAAGCTCAATGCCAAAAGATAAAAGGAGATCCAGTGTGTGATGCCGAAGGCATCCAACAGGTTGATGAAATCTTGAGCAAAAGAGTTTGATTGACAGCAAATGTGAATATTAAAATCGCCTACTAGTATGAAACAGTCGTAAGAAATGGTCATGTAGGGACTTCCGGTTATGTCGCCTTTGGTATAGACGTGAGTGCGATCAGCTCCCTTTAACTTTTATTTCTTCTTTACAAACCTCGTTGGTTTAGAACTTTTTGGCAACCTACATTTATTTACTTTTCTCTCTTAGAGTACGTAGTATTAAATTTTCACTTAACATGTCGAAAGGAAAGGGCAGACAGGTGGAAAAAGACTGTGAAGCGCCGTCCTCGCCTAGCTCTGGCTAGCCGAAATTAGCGCCCTGCACGAGGAGCTCAGAGCCTCTCTGGCCGCGGATTTTAAAGCCTCTTTTGAAAGCTTGGACAGTAAGTTGGAGAATATTAACTCCACAGTCGCGGCTCACGACCAGCGCATCAGTTGCCTTGAATCGGGACTCGCGGAGGTAACCCAGCACCTTGAACACCTGGAGACCGCGTGAGCCGGCCTCACTAAAGAAAATGAGTGGCTGCGGTCTAAAATGTCAGACCTAGAGGGGCGCAGCCGGCGGCAGAATATTCGCATCGTGGGGCTCCCTGAGTCAATCGAGGGACCGCGACCAACTAACTTTTTCTCCGAAATGCTTGCTGAGGTATTTGGCGATCAGATTTTGGCGTCACCGCCTGAACTGGAACTGTGGTTTTACGGTTTCACCGTTACCAGGTGAAGGATTTGGTGGTTCGTGAGTCCCGTAAAAAAGGAATTTTGACCTTTCGTAATCACAAGATTCGGATATTTGAAGATTACAGCCCAGATGTCCTAAAGCTGCGCAGTGAATTCAAAGATGCCATGGCGGAGCTATACAAGCGAGGACTCAGACCTGCTCTTCTCTTTCCAGCTAAACTACGCATCACTCTACCGAACGGTGAGAAACTATGGCTGCTGACAGCTAACGAAGCCAACAACTACATTCGGAACTTAGACGTATAGTAGTTCACCTCTATGCTTTGGACGATGACATGACGTGACATAAACCCATCTCTTGTCATAAACAGCTTGGCGCTTTTTTTCCCCCTTTTTTTCCGTAACACTCATGCCACTTCAAGGAGTTACTACTGGGTGACTAACGTTATTCGAGGTACTCTCACAGAAGTTTGTTCGTCGAGATGCAATGTGAATTTTTTTTTCTTTTTTTGAGAATTCTATTATTGCTTTTTGATGACAATGGTGACTCGTTCTTTTCACCTTTTATATTTTTCATGGACGATGATATATCATCGTGTTCGGGGATAAAGACTT